TACCGTAATGAAACAATTCTACACTTTAACCTTTCACGTTAACACACCTGTATATCACCTGTACGTGACTTATTTATGGTTTATTTTTCGTTATGATGTCTATAGTGGCTGGTGCCACTTGTAGTCCGAAAAATACGGTAATTAAATGGACTTTAAAGCCTTTGAAAACGACTCAATTAAATATTTTTGTGTTAAATCTCACAAATTTAAGAGCAATGAGCTTCCTGTTCACTTACAGAACAAGCAGGGCTTCGTATTTTCTCATAGCTGTTTTTTTGTAAGCAGATGTAATTTTAGAGTGTTGATTCCCTTTATTTTTGCCTGTTCTACCTCTGAGATCATAACCATCATAATTTGTCACGTGTCTGAGTCGAGGTCCAGCTCGTTGAATAATTTACAGACCTTGAGTTTAAATAACTAAACATTTCAGATTGTTTCTGCCTCTTTCTGGCCAGTAGAAAGGATGCGAAAGGGAATAGGAGGCTCTGAAGGGTCCAGCGAGCATCTTTCTGGTGCTTTTAGTTTCCTGTTTAAGTCTAAAATGGGGTCATGTTGTGCCTCTTTCTCCTATAAACACATTCCAGTCTTTCCAAACCCAGAATCTGATCTGAAACAGGATATCTGAGCAGGGGGGGGTTAAATGTCACTCTTTATGCACACGCTGAAGTCTAAACTCTATTTAAAGTTATTTTCCCGCAGAAACACCAAACAGTTTCGACTGTTTTTTTTTTTTTTTTCGACTCGATTCGACTGATTTCTTTCACATAAAATCCAGAGGGCGAAGAAAACTGCCCGTTTAAAGAGTCTCAGTAGTTTTTGTGGTATATATTCCTGAACCGGGCCGGTTTACGGAGCCTGACGAGCCGCTCTGTCTGTTTTTTTTCTCAGTGTGCGTCACCTTTCTGGGGAAGTTCTACCAGCTGCTGAAGGACAGCAACACCAAGTTCAACAGCGCCGACATCGAGACGGCGCTGGTCTCCAGCTGCAAGGACGCCAAAGGCAAAGAGAACCGCTTTGTGAGTACCGCCCTCTGTCAGCTCACTGCCCAAGAAGCAGGAAATGTAAAGACAATGTTGAGTTTCTGCTGCTATTTCAGCTCCTGAACTAATGTTTCCACTTCTGTCTGTAACATCTGCTGGAACAAAAGCAGGAAATCTGAGTTTAAATTTGAGATATTCTGATTTTTTATTTTATTTCTTCTAGTAATTTGTCTGATTCCTAAATTAATTTGTGGGGTTATTTCAGCTTCTTGTGTAAAAACTGAGGTCTTTCCATCATTTTAGTGTGAAATCAGCTCCTGTTTTCAGAGGATTCTTCATCAAACTGAGCAGTGAGACACTTTAAGCCTTATTTTGTTCTCTCAGGTTAAACTGAGTCTGTTTCAGCTCTGAACTCATGTTTCTGCTTCTGTCTGTAACATCTGCTGGAACAGAGCTCATTTAGTGGAAACCATCCAGCTCATATTCAGCCGGTTGGGTGGGAGAAAACCAGAGTAGGGATGTGATAGATAGATAGATAGATAGATAGATAGATAGATAGATAGATAGATAGATAGATAGATAGATAGATAGATAGATAGATAGATAGATAGATAGATAGATAGATAGAAGCACTACACACAGTCACAACACTATGAGGTAAAAAGTTAAATAACATCTGGACGTATTTGCAATATAAATGCAATATGAAAATGTATAAATAAACAGCATTGGTTAAAGTACAAGTAAAATAAAATAAGTTTAAGTCGGTTTAGGGTTAGAAACGACCCAAACTGGCCTTAAAGGCGTCAGGAGGGTCCAAATTGTTTGACTTCATGGTAGGGTTGTCAAAAGTATCTATACTCCAAAAAGTATTGATACTAAAACGTTGTATCCAGATACGATACTCATTTTCAAATGTACTGATACCCCCCCCACCCCCCATATGACGCTGACCTGCCGACGCTGCGCCCCTTCCCTCTGATTTATTTATTTACGTTGTCTATGATCATTAACGTGACTTTAGCATTGAATTGCTAGCTGCGGCTAATGGCTAATAATAACACGCCAACATTAATCAAGTCCGTTTGTACAATAAGTCCAAACAAGTTTAACCAAAAAATATTTATTTCTCACAATTATGAAGGGTGGAGGGTTAGGGTCAGGGTTAGGGTTTTGGGCTCTTTGTTTTTATCCTTGTGGTATAGAAAATGGTATCAAGTATCAAATATTTTCCTGAGTATTGCTATACTAAAATTTTAGTATCGTGACGACCCTACTTCATGGAAATGAGCTCTATTCTGACATCCATAAACTCTGTGAGCAAGACGATGAAGTGTTAAACCATCTGGGGGTGGTTTTTAGTCTGAACAGATTTGTGGGGGGTTAACGTGGTATTTCCGGGCTAAAACAGTGACCTGGAGCCTCTGTTTCCGGTTTATTTCAGTGTTATTACATCGGAGCGACGAGCGACGCGGCGACCAAAATGATCAACGAGGTTTCTAAGCCGCTCAGCTCCCACGTCCCCGTGGACAAGGTCTGCGAGAAGCTCAAGAAGAAGGACAGCCAGATCTGCGAGCTGCGCTATGGTACGAGGCCCTAAACCTAAAGATAGTCCCTAAACCCAACCCCCTAAACCCAGTCCCTAAACATAACTCCAACCCCTAAACCCATAGCCCCATAATCCCTAAACTTTACCCTAAACCTAAATATCTAACCCTAAACCCACAATCCCTAAACCCATAACCACATAATCCCTAAACCTTACCCTAAACCTAACCCTAAACCCATAGCCCCATAATCCCTAAACTTTACCCTAAACCCATAGCCCCTAAACTCAGTCCCTGACCCTTAGACCAAACCCCATAAACTTTACCCTAGTCCCTGACCCCTAAACCTCAACCTAACCCCTGAACTTGGTACCCGACCCCCTAAACCAAGTCCCTGATCCCTAAACCCCTAACCCTAAACCCATAGCCCCTGGCCCCTAAACCTATCACTAGTCCCTAACCCTAGCCCCTAAACCTTAGCCCCTAAAACGAACCCTGATCTCTAACCCTAGTCCCTGTGCCCTAAACCTAGTCCCTGGCCCCCAACCCCCTAACCCTAAACCCATAGCCCCTAAACATGGTCCCTGGCCCCTAAACTTAACCCTAGTCCTGTGCCCTAAACCTGGTTCCTGACCCCTAAACCTAAACCCATAGCCCCCAAAACCCCTGGTCCATGACCCCTAAACATTACCCATTACCCCTAACCCTCTGACCCCTAAACCTCTAACCCTAACCCCATCTCT